AGGGAGATGTTCCACTCCCTTCATCATCTTTGTAGCTCTGCGCTGGACTCTTTCAAGCAGTTCCCTGTCCTTCTGGAACTGTGGGGCCCAGAACTGGACACAATATTCCAGATGTGCCCTCACCAAAGCAGAATAGAGGGGGAGAAGAACCTCCCTTGACCTACTAACAACACCCTTCCTAATGCACCCCAGGATGCCACTGGCCTTCTTAGCCACAAGGACACATTGCTGGCTCATGGTCATCCTCCTGTCCACCAGGACCCCCAGGTCCCTTTCACCTACACTACTCTCCAGCAGGTCAGCCCCCAACCTTTACTGAGACATGGGGTTTTTCTTTCCCAGGTGCAAGACTCTACACTTGCCCTTGTTGAACTTCATCAGGTTTCTCCCCACCCAACTCTCCAGCCTGTCTAGGTCTTGTTGAATGGCAGCACAGCCTTCTGGTGTGTCAGCCACTCCACACAGTTTGGTGTCATCAGCAAACTTGCCAAGTGTACATTCTGTACCCTCATACAGGTGCTTGATGAAAATACCGAACACCGGCCCCAGTACCAACCCCTGAGGGACTCCACTAGTCACAGACCTCCAACTAGATTCTGCCCCATTGACTACAACTCTCTGATTTCTTCCTTTCAACCAGTTCTTGATCCACCTCACTACCTGATCACCAAACACATACTTGATCATCTTATCTATAAGGATGCTGTGGGAGACGGTGTCAAATGCTTTACTGAAATCAAGATAAATCACATCTACTGCTCTACCATCGTCTATCCACCTAGTAATTTCCTCATAGAAGGCTATGAGGTTAGTCAAACATGACTTGCCTGTGGTAAAACCATGTTGACTGCTCTTGATGACCCCCTCATCCTTGATATGCCTAGAGAAAGTGCCAAGAACAAGTTGTTCCATCACCTTTCCAGAGATGGAGGTAAGGCTGACCAGTCTATAGTTACCTGGGTCCTCCTTCTTGCCCTTCTTGTATACTGGAGTCACATTTGCTATCCTCCAGTTCTCAGGCACCTCTCCTTTTAAATATTAATCTTCTCTTTCCTTCGTGTCATATTAATCAAAGATTTTCAGTGTCTTTCACACTCACACATTAAAAAAAAATCATTTGGGCCTCTGTATTTGAAATTCAAGAAGTCAGTTTTGGGGTGAAACAGCATATTTTGCTCTGTCACCAGGGCTCCCACCTCATTCCTCAGTGGGCCAATATTGCCTCTAGTGTTAGTTTTGTCAGCTATGTATTTGAAAAAGCCCTTTCTATTATCCTTAACCTGACTTGCAAGGTTAAGTTCCAAGGAGGCCTTAGCTTTCCCAGTTGCCTTCCTACATCCTCTGACAACTGTCCTATGTTCCTCCCAAGTGACCAGCCCCTCCTTCCATGATCTGTAGATTTTCCTTTTCCACTTAAGTTTGCCCAGCAGTTCGTTTTTTAACCATGCTGGTCTCCTAGCTCCCTTACTTGATTTCCTACCCATTGGGACACTCTGATCCTGAGCTTGCAAGAAGTGGTCCTTGAATGTTGACCAACTATCTTGAGCCCCTTTACCTTCTAGCACCCTGTCCCATGGGACTTCCTTTAACAATTGATTGAGGAGGCCAAAGTTTGCCTTGCGGAAGTCCAGGGTTCTGGTCTTGCTAGGTACCCTATTCCTCCCACACAGGATCCTGAACTCCACCATCTCGTGATCACTGCAGCCAAGGCTGCCATTGACAGTCACTGCTTCAACAAGTCCCTCCTTGTTGGTGAGTACAAGATCCAGCAGCGCTTCTCTTCTAGTCAGCTTGTCCAGCATTTGCATTAAGAAGTTATCATCAATGCATTGGAGGAGCCTCCTAGACTGTGAATGGCACATAGACTTCTGCTTTCTGTCGCACTGGTTGCATGATGTCTGGGCCCCCAAACCCTGTAGAGCCCAGATGAGGACTGCTGTGCTTAACTGCCCTCTTTCCACAGGCCCCAGTCTAAAGACGCTGTGTAAACTAGCAGTGATTCAGTACAGCCTGGACCAGTCTGGCCTTCCCCACGACATCAGGTACTGCCTTGCTGGGAGGTCACCCCATGGGTGTGCCCTGTTCTTGGGATGCTTTAGCCCTGGCTGAGGGCTGCCTGAGGCCCTCCTTGGCACTGTGCAAGGTGGGCTGGGCTGGAGACCACAGCAGAGGCTGGCGTTGTGTTTGTGCTTTCTCTCAGTGTATCCTATTGGTGTATTACAGATGGGAGCTCTCAGCCATGACAACAAACAGCACCATCAGCCGCCCCATTGTCTCTTCTCAGGGCTGACACCGACTCATCCCTCTACCAGCCTGTCCTCACCCCTCCATATACTGATCTCTTGCTCTATTGCCTGCATGAGTTTTTAACCCTTTCAAAAAAGGAACATGTGAACTCAGTTTATCTTGCCCAAGCCAGGCCTCCTTCTGCCCTTGTCATCCTTTGGGCAGCACAAATGCGAAGGCAGAGAAGGCTGCCAGGGAAGAAACTGGCCTGCCCTAGCAGCACCACAGTGAACCCTCCTCCTTGCCGATGGCTCCGGTGTTTCTGCGTTCCTTCCCTGTGCCTGTGGAGCTGCAGCTATGCTGACCTGGTCTCCAGCCATCTTCCAAGGGCCTGAATCAAATCCTACCACCAGCCACTGCCCTGGGATTGCCTTGGGCTATGAACTGTTCCTGTGCTGCCTAGAGAGAGCAGGGACCTCCACGCCTGCAACCACCAGAACTGACCAGCTTCCTGGCACTGGACGGCAGGCTCCAGCCTGAGCTGAGCCTCATATGGGGGCCTGGGCCTAGCTGGACTCTCTGCCCAGCTCCCATTGTAAAACAGCAACTGGCAGGAGTTTTATAAATGCTGAGGCAGTCATGGCTTCTGCTGCTTTGTGTGTCCTGGCAGGCAAACTGGGGGAAGAGGAGGTGTGGGAGGGGTTTGTCGTGGCGGTGGCTGGTGTGAGCTGCAGCCGTGGTTGGGGTGGGAGAAGGGGAGCTGGACCCCAGAGCCTGCCCCTGACTTGGGCTGTGCTGTCCTGCGAAAGGGCAGAGAAGAAGCTGGTACGTCTTCTGGGCTGTGCTGCCTCAAGAAGGCGGGAACCCCACAGCTCTCTGCCCCAGGGAGGGATGTCCAGAGCAGCCTTCCCTGGCGGTGCAGAGGGCTGTGCCCAAGCCCTTTTCTGTGAAGAAGAGGTGTCCAATGTGAAGAGGAGCTCTGGTGGCAACTAGCAGAGCTAACACAGGGAAATATAGAGAGCTGCTCAGGATATTTCCTGGGATGTAGTCACAGGGTAACCAAAAGATGGTGGTGGCTGTGTGCTGGGAATGGGTGGCAGAGAGCCCTGGCTGGCATCTAGCCAGGGTCAAGTACTAGTGCTCATACAGCAGCATGGGTTTGCAGAGATGTGTGGGTTGCTCAGTCTGTGGGAGGTGGACAAGATGGGTGCAACAGACCAGCCTGGAGTGGCATGAGAGCCTGGAAAACCCCATGGCAAGAGAACAGAAGGCAACTTGATTGTGACAAGAGTTTGTTCTTTGCATACTGGCAGCACCTTGCTGTGGTGGGTAATGAGCATCAATGGCAGGGCAGAGGCCTGAAGGCAGCCAGGGTGTGCTGACAGCACATCTG